TTCCTTTGCAGTTTGGAAGGTTTGTATGTTTTCATTCTACTTAGTATATTTCATTAGAACCATAATAAACACACAGTCAATGAAAAAACAACTAGGGAATGGTCCTTCTCCAAGAAATTCAACAGTTTTGGAGCAGGTCAGTGTTACAGTCATGTGATGTAGAATTTGAACAGTACTGAGGTGATACATGCTAGTAGTTTTTCTTTTTGTATTAGACAAAAAAAGGGGAATTGTGGTGATAGATTATAGATTGCCTGAGGATTCAGAAAACAAAGTTAGCCTTAAGCTATAGAGATCAGGCAGTGGTGGTACACACCTTTAATTCCAGGACTCAGCAGACAAAGGCAGATGGATCTCTCTGAGTTCAAGGCCATCAGGGTTACATGAGATGAATCAGTCTAAGTGTAACAGAGTTCATACCTTTAACCCTAGCATTAGAGAGAAGTAAAAGATAAGAGCAAGGTCTTCAGTAGTCAGTCTCAGCCACGTTGAGGAGAGCACAGCAGTCTGAGTGAATCTGAGGAGCAGTGAAGTCGGGAGCAGTCTGAGGATTGCCCCTTTGGTCTGAGCTGAGGTAGAGTAATAGCTAGTGGCTGGCTGCTTTGCTTTTCTGGTCTTCAGGCAATCTTTAATAAGTCATAAATAATATATCACCACACAGCACCAAGATAGAATCTTGAGGAACATTGTACTTTAGAAACTCAGAGAAGAAAGGACTCATTTCTGCTATATGTAAGATCCAAGAAAACGGACTGAAAGTGAACTTAGAGATAGCCCAAAGGGAGAGCATTCCTGGTGGAATAAAGGACTACCACTGTTGGGTCAGACACTGGCAAGAACTTCACATGCATCATCTCACTTATCCTTCCAGTTCTGTTGTTTACATCCTGTTATCCCAGTTACTGGAGTGAAGAATGATGCTCTCAGCAGTGCCCGCAGAACTTCATACAAACGTGAAAATGCTCTGTGAAGCTGCACTGACACAATAATCCCAAGTTATGTGTAGCTGTTGGATACTTGAAAATGGGACTGAGGAGCCATATAATTGATACATTTATACTTAATAGGGAAAATGGTTATATCTTCATTTTACATATGAAGAAACATGCTCAAGGCTTGCCAGGCAAACCAAAATTTGAGTTTAGATCCTTTGACTTTCAGTGGACCACTGTGATTCATTTTCATCTTTTTATTTATTGTATCTTCAAAGTTGAAATGAGTCACAATTGTTCCTACTATATTAAAATAAAGTAAAAGTAAAAATATAAACCATTAGAAATTAGAAGCTGCATGTATATGCATCTGTGTAAATTGTTTTCTTCACATTGAACCTCCCTCGGTGCACTCATACAATTGAGAGTTGCGTAGAAGGATAGAGTGGAGGAATTTAAAGTGAGAATGGGTATATTGTATCTGAACCATGCCCACAGCAAACTCCTGTTTAGTCCAAATGCCAAAGCTGTGGTTTAAGACAATATGTAACAGCTGCTGGGACTGTGCTTTGGTTATATGGCTTCTGTACTGTGCCAAATCCTATACGGGAGGCGCTCTTGTAAGTCAACCTGCAATCAAGGAGAAGAGTCATAGATATCAACTAGCACGGCTTGGAATGAAATTCAGTCTCTGATTTTCCTGAGGGCCTGTTGTCTAGTTTGTATGTGGTGTTCTTTCCTAAGTACTAGTATTGTGGTTCCGGGTTTTTCTACAAAAGGAGGAATAAATGGGGTAGGAGAGGTCACTCAGTGTGGCAGTGATTTTGATAGATAGGATGGGGAGATGTGAGTCAGGGCCAGAGACCAGTGTGAGTGGTAAGAAATCTGCATACTCTTTATGCTGCTATTAGATCTGGCTGGCTGCAGAGGAACAGAGAGTGGGTGAGTTCAGTTTCAGTTACCACTGGCATTTTCTCTTCTGTGTACTCTCTCCGCAGGGAGGTGCTGGCCAGTGAAGCCATTCTCAACATTCCTGACAAAGCTGACTGGAGGCAGTGCCAAATCAGTAAGGAAGAGGAGGAGACACTGGCTCGACGCTTCCGGAAAGACTTTGAACCTTTTGACTTCACTCTGGATGACTAGGCAAAGGGAAAGGCACTTTATGAACTTCACAGGAAATTGTTACAGCCTGTTTTTAAAATGAAACTATAGTCTCCCATGGGGGCTGCCTCCATATATTCCCATGGAAACTGCCTACAGCAAGAGGTCTAGGATTGACTTTAGTTATTTTTTTAAAGATGTCATTCTGAGATGCAATTGTATGTTAAAAGAGTGTCTGCTACATATTTCTAAGAACAGCTATGTTTGTCTACATCTTCACAGACTTAAACCTTTGAGGTTGGGTATGGTTGCTCATGCCTGTAATCTCACAAATTGAATAGTTTTGGCAGGAGGATTGTTGTGAATTCAAGGCTAGTCTAATGTATATAGCAAGTTTCAGGCCAGGCCAATCTGGGCTGTGGTGTGAGACCTGTCTAACCACCCACCCGCAACCCCACCCAAAAACCAAAAACAACCAACCTCAAATCTTGTAAATGATTAAAAGGGAGTCATTTTCTAAGGTTGATAAATGTCTTATATTGCTTATCACACTGAAATGAAATTATGTGTGTGTGTGATAGAGACAAGAGCTTTATGCCTAGCAGTTACTCCAGAATAACAGGCAACTCGGTCTGCGTAAGGGAAATGCATGGCTTTTGCTGCTTTCTCGCAGCATCATGCTCACATAAAAGAATCCATTCCATCTTTCAGATATTTAACTCTGATATGCTAGGAGTTTTTCTAAGTTCCAAGAGTATATCCAGTGAGTGCCCTAACATGGTGCCTATTATCATAGAGTTTATAGTCTAATTGGTAAAGGAAGTGGCAGATTTAAGAAAATTAGGTTTTCATTGAATGTATTGTTCTAGATATTGGAGTTCTCCAATAGATTGCTATTAGATACTTATGAAACCCATGCAGATCGGGATTGGTGATGGGGCTTTGAATGCATTTTAGATGTTCAAGATAACCGAGTTATCTGACAGATGTGTCCAGAGTGCTGTTAGATGTAGCAGATGTAGGTTGGTGATAGGACTTTACGTATCGTAGTGAAATTACAAAATAAAACAGGGCAAGTACCATCAGTTGCAACCTAAAGATGAAGGAGACAGTGGTCCAGTGAACAGTAAGTCCATTGAACAGGAGCCGTGTGACCATCAGAGAAAGCTGCATATCTGAAGCCAGAAGAGAACTGTCCTGCCTTCTTTATTGGCCACTTAAGGCCCAGATTCATTTTCACTTAGTTCTCACAAAAATGTCTTGACCTCCTTTTCACAAATAAAAGAAAAAAAAAGTCAGTCTAGGAAACCTGAAGAGTGTGGGGCCTGGGACAAACCATTCTACAATTAAACATAATAAAAGGTCAGGCCTTTAATCTTAGCATTCAGCAGGTGGATATCTGAGTTTGAGGTCAACCAGGGCTTTATAGACCCTGTCTCAAAAAACAAAAATAAACAGGTCAACAAACCTTGAGTTACGTTTTAAGAATAGACTATTTAAAAAGTGAACTAAGGTAGGAACCAATTTGGATCACCTAGTCAACATTATCCTGTCTGTAGTTTTAAGTATCTCCCACTCTTGAGGGTAAATTATGAAATTACATCCCATCTGTGGAAACTGGACACACTCCTAGCTGTCATACACAGCAAATGAGGTTCTCAGAGGTTCATTTGCTATTACATTGAAGTCTGATATTCCAACTCCATGGAATACATGAAAATAATAGAATCAATTAGTCGAGTACCACTCATTATCAGTGACCCACAACATCGACTTGCATACAGACCCTGCGAATTTGATTCTATGCCAAGTCTTACACTTCTGAATGATTAGCATCCCTAGTGTCAGACTGGTGGAGTGCTACAAGCCTGAATCAGATGGAGGAATAACAAGTTGTAGACCGGCCTGGATTACAAGCGACCCTGTCTCAAAACAAAACACCTAGGTTCCATGAAGCAGATAACTCAAATGGAAAGGCAGATACTCTCCCCCGTGCAATCCACCACTCAGAAGTATGCCTTACTGGATCAGGAACACCCCAGGTTTATCTTTGCAGCTCTGTAGGGCATCCCAGAAACAATTCCAACCCAGAAACAATGCATTGACAAGCCTGAAACAGCAAGGCTGAGAAGCAGCAGATCCGCGAGGCTCGAAGGGAAACTCACAAGTCCGGAAAAAAGTTTGCACTTTGGAGTAACGTCACATCCTTGGGTGGTTTGGGATTATAAGAGAGATTTTGAATAGATGTGTACAAAGGCTAATGAATACACGGGCCGGTTAGCGCAGTTTTCTTTCATGTTTATGGTGGCCTTTACCAGTGGGTGGTAGGATTGGAGGAGCAGAGGGTAGGGCTCTGAAACAGATAAAATGTAGACGGGGTGGGGGCCATACGAAGAATACGACGTTTAGGGTTTGGAGACAGATCTATTTTAAAATAAAGACACGTATGAAACCCCCTCTCTCTACATATAAATGTTATATGTATGTATTAATATATATATAATTAATGTATAATATGTATGTATAATTATTTACATACATATATTAAATAAATAAGAATCTCACACACGAAGGTCCCCTCAGTCTGGAAGATGCCCAGTGCACTTAAAAGCACAGTGCAACCCGCTCGTGCCCAGCCCATTGGTCCGCACCAATCCCAGGAGAAGAGATGTGTCCTCAGAGGCTCATTTGCTATTATTACCTTCAAGTCTGATAATTCCAATTCCACGGACTACACGAAAATAATAGAACCAATTAGTTGAGTACCGCTCATTACCAGTGACCCCTAACATAGACTTGCATGCAGACACTGAGAATTTGATTCTATGCCGAGTCTTACACTTTTGAATGATTAGCATTCCTAGCGTCAGGTAGAGCGCTGCAAGCCTGACTCAGCTGGAGAAGGCCAGGGCGGGACTTTTCCTACGGAAGCTATCGGAAGTGACGTGTAGGTCTCGCGAGAAGAAGGACGCGCGAGCCTGGGCGGCCCGGAACCGGCCTTGGACCGGCGGCGAAGCCTGAGGCGGCTGGCCCTCCCGCCCATGGAGCGGCCCCCGGGGCTGCGGCCGGGCGCGGGCGGCCCCTGGGAGATGCGGGAGCGGCTCGGCACCGGCGGCTTCGGGAACGTCTGTCTGTACCAGCACCGGGTGAGGCGGGGCAAGGGAGCAGTGGCGCTGGGTCTGTCGGGGCGGCCCTGGGACGGCGGCTGTCAGTCAGGGTGGGAGGGGTGGTCCTGGAGACCTGGGGCGGTGCTGGGGCCAGGGAACGAGTGCGGGCCGTACCGGGCTTGTGAGCCTGGGTGCCAGGCGTGTCTGAGGTCCCCGGACAGCGAGGGTGAAGCTGTTGCAGCTGTGTGTGGTGAGGAGGGGTATGTGTGAATGTCGTGTGTGTGTGTGAGAGTATGTGTGAATGTGTGAATGTGGTGTGTGTGTGAGTATGTGTGAATGTCGTGTGTGTGTGAGAGTATGTGTGAATGTGTGTGAATCGTGTGTTTGTGTGAGTATGTGTGAATGTGTGTGAATGTCGTGTGTGTGTGTGTGAGAGAGTATGTGTGAATGTGGAATGTGTGTGTGTATGTGTGAATGTCATGTGTGGTGACGAGTATGTATGAATGTCTAGTGTCTCTGTGAGTGTCTGTGCCTGAACGCTTGAGTAAATAAGGAAAGCCCTTCCGGGAGTCCAGAGTTGAACCTGTGGAAACATTGACAGACTTTGGAATTGGAGCATTCCAAGCAAGAGACAGCGTGAGGGTAGGGTGATAAAAATGGTCCTTGCTTCAAAGAGAAGGACATAGACTGAGGGGTTGTCCTGTAGAAGACAGCTAACATCAGGCTCGGAAAATTTGCTTTGATTTAATTAAAAAACGTTTAACCATTGCAACCGCAGTTACTTGTACTCTTAAAGGATTTTTAAGCTAACACTCACCTTCCTTATTTTAATGTTGTTGATGGTAGGAGTGGAATACAGGCTTTGCACGTGCTAGGCGAATAGTCTGACCCTGGGTTACATCATTAGCCCCAGTTAATCATGTTTGAATCATGGGTCTTTTCATAGTTCAATAAAAACTATGGATCTTCTCCAGAAAATTAATATCCATGCAAACCAGAGCGTTACCATTGAGAGTTTTGCTTTCCTGAAGAATCTTGAACAGTAGTCAATGCAGAATAGAATTTGTTGTCTGTCAAATGTGGGTCTGTTTGAGAGTTAAGTGAGATGTAGTAGAGACTTTTAATAAGTACTTGAGTAGGTTGTAGTTGTCCTCTGATAACTCACTCTTCCTGTGGCCGATTTGTTGAGTTATTATCACCCTCATAAATTGGGCTTATACAAAGGAACCGTAAGATAAAGATGGTGTTCTGGAAGACCTTATGTGAGGAATAAGTTTATTTAGAAATAAATAAGCCAAGTACAGGCATTTTAGTAATATCTTACGGTTACATCTACTGCTTTCAGTATACTCATTTATAGAAATAATGGTCCAGTAGTTCATAGACAGGACAGGAGAAAGGTCAGGAAGTGACTTAGCAGATTTCTTTATTGGGCACTGATGGGCCCAAATCAACAAGAACAATATTTTCCACCCTGAAGGAAATTTTCATTTCAGAGAGAGACAGACATAGACAAAGTACAGTTGGGCCTGGTAGTATATACTTGTAATCCTAGCACCTAGGGTCCAGAGGCAAGAGAATTTTGAGTTTGAGGCTAGTCTGAATGGGCTTCATACTGTGGTCAAGGCCAGCCTGTCTCAGAAGTAAACATGGGTTCAGTGTAATCCTAGACACTGAAAGTACTGGTAGTGTGAGTAGCCAAAGAACTTTCCCTAGGGAATAGTAGTTCTCAAAGGGTGTTTGAAAAACCTCATTCCATGTAATGCATTAAGGAAAGAATGTAGAAGCCAGGCATGGTGGGAACACTTGGGAGACTGAGGTCAGAGGATTGCCTGCAGTAGAAAACCACCATGGGCCACAGAGAGTCCCCTTTTTAAAGAAGTATGTATGGGAAGGAGATGTAGCTCAGGGTAAATGCCCTGGGCTCTGTCCTCAGCACTATAGATCCAGCCTGCCACACACGGAAAATAATCTAATCGGGTAGGACTTGGGATCGCAGGAAATGCACCTACAAAACATATGCAGACAGAGAGGATGGATGTAAGTCATGTGCAAATACCGCAGTGGACTTGGGCAGCTTCAGACTTCGGCGTCCTCTGGAGGCCCTAGAAGCTGTCGTCTGCATGCTGAGGGCAACTTCACTGAGTTCAAATACATTGGGTAAATGCCTGGAAAATCACAATTCAAATTAGGAATCCAATTTAAAAGCTCCAAAAAGTAAAGAGATTAAATTAGTGTTTTCAGACTTCCTTCCTGCCTTAGTCTTCCAATAGCAGGAACTATAGACTCATATTACCACACCCAACTTAGTCTCATTCTTAACAAACAGGCCTTTTTGTTGTTGTTAGGCAGCTATACACTTCCCAGAGTATATTCTCTGTGAGACGATTGAGTTTTACAGAGGAGGTGAAACCAAGGCGTTGAAGGATCTCTTGTGGTTGGGACCTATATAAGGTACATAACTTCCTGTCTCATTCATATCAGAATTTAGGGCTTACTGTTTAGCTGTGCTGAAGTCACCATGGTGGCAAAATTTTATGTAGGTTGTAACTACTGTCAGATACCTGTTTGCTTATAACAAAAGCTGAAAGGAGTGAGCACTGTGGTAAAACTATCACTTACTCTCTATTAACCCCCAACACCTGCACTAGAAACTGTCTTGCCTTTAGCCTTCCTCCTGGCTCCTAACCCAGACTATCCTATCTAAACTGTCTTGCTCTCTGCTTCCCCCTTCAGCCCCTGGGTACTGCACTCACCACTTTTACCACACCTTGGTGACATTCTTTAGAACTGTTAACGCAGTATAGCCTGTTTGGTTATGACACTGTATTAGTAGTATTGTCAGAATATGATAAAGTCTGGCTGTTTATTGAAATGTGCATAGGATACTTTTATTTTCAGGCAGAATTGTTGAAATTACTAATCATAAGCAAGAGGTCTTAGGTTTTTATTGTAGATATTTCAATAGGAGTACAGTTCTTTGAATATTTTTCCATGACATTTGAAATGCAAAGATTAGGATCTAATTTTGGAGGGTTTTGTTTGTTTTTGTTTTGCATTAGTCTTGGTCATAAGAAAACTATTTTTTGCTCTTTTGAGGTTAGGGATCCCTGAATTACTTTCTTCTTTCTGGTTATACTGGAGTTTGGGGCCCTTGTTTCTTGTCTTGACTGAACTTGGCATAGGAACTTGTTGGAGAAATGGGATCTTTGTATATTTCTAATAGTAGTTCTAAGGTATTAAAAGTATATCTAATCTTCTGAAGAGATCTATTGTAGGGTCTGCCTCAGTCAGTTTTTGCTTATATACTATGGTGTGTTTGATAGATTCAAATCATTGGTTTAATAGTAGTATGGTTCATATAACTAATGTTGGCTAAAGAGAGCTGTGGATAATATGTTTAATTAGTAAAGCTAAAGGAGTGTTATTTTCCTGGGTTGACATTGCTTTGATTGTAAGCAAATCTGTACAAGAATCTAATTTATTCATATTTTTCTATTTTCTATTTGACAGGAACTTGATATCAAAATAGCAATTAAGTCTTGTCGCCTAGAGTTAAGTACCAAAAATAGAGAGCGCTGGTGCCATGAAATCCAGATCATGAAAAAGTAAGTGTATGCTGTGATTTCGATTGCTTCAGTTCTACAGCCCAGCCAGTTTTCAATATAGGAAAGGGTGAGAGGTTCACTTTTCTCAAGGTCTTTTTGGTTATATGATTTTGTCATTGAATATATGTGTTCTACAATAGCTAGTTTTATCACATTATGGCTAAGAAAATTATAGTTTAAATTAGCTAGATAACTCAGGAGGCAGAGGCAGGCGGATCTCTGTGAGTTCAAGGCCAGCCTGGTCTACAGAGCAAGTTCTAAGACAGCTTCCAAAGCAAGAGAAACCCTGTCTCGAAAAACAAAACAAAAGGTAGCATTCTCATTCTAGCTCTTTAAGTTTTTCTTCTTAATATTGAGCAACTTTAATGACTAGCATATAAATAATTTCTTTTTGCACATTTTTTAATAGTGAATCTATTGTTTTGTAGACAATTGTTACAAAATTTCATAGCTGAAAACTGGATATTTAGTGTCTGTAGTTTATGGCTGTGTTAATTGTGGTTCCAGCTCAGGGCCTCTCCTGAGACATCTGAAAATGTTGACTTTATAGAGCTGCAGTTTCCTGAAGGTTTGGTCAAGGCTTGAGTATTAACTTCCAGGCTCATTCATGTGGCTACTGCCAGAGCTCAGTTCTTCAGTAAGGGAACGTCTCCACAGGGTCGTGCACAAGCTTTAATGGCATGGCAGCCAGCTTCCCCAGACCAATGATCTGAATGGGGAGAATAAGGAAAAAGCTGACAGATTCTTAGGGAAGTCATATTACCTTAGAAGTCATATTTCATTTTTCCCACTGCATTCTGTTAAAAATGAGTCAGTAAGAATAGCCTGTATGTTTAAGGGGAATAGAAACTAACTTTTGAGGGACAGTGGATATATTTTAATTTTCATAGTATGCTTCCATTACTGTAGTTGTCATCACAACTGTGTATTTGGGTATTGTCCTGTTCCATAGATGAAAAAGATGAAACACACAGTCATCATACAATTGGTACTGGATTTGAAATGAGCATTTTCTGACTTTAGTTTGTGTTCAATTCATTTTATTTTGGCTTTCAAATTTGGCTATATGGAAGAATCACCAGGAAAACTTAATAATATAAATTCTCAGACCCTTAGGCACTTGTCTCTTTAGTTCCTGGAACATGAGACTCTATTATTGTCAGGTTCTATTGCATTGTGAGGATGATCATAAAGATGATTAATAGAGTGTTACATTAAAAAAAGAACTGTGGAGCTAGAGAGAGAGATAGCAGTTAAGAGCACTTACTGCTCTTGTAGAAGATCCAAGCTCATCTTCCAGTATCCACCAGGTGACTTATAACCATCTGTAACTCAGTTTCCAGGGGATCCAGTGCCCTCTTCTGACCTTAAGAAAAAAATAATTAAGAGCAGACGAAGTCAGTAAGTAATATGAGCATATTAATTGAAAAGACTACATTTGTACTTATATTTAAAACTGGAAGGAAAGGTCCAGATTTTTAGGGTGACTGTTATGGTTGTGGAAGAGGCAGTGTGATGTAGGCTTTGTGCCATGAGATCTTATGTTACCTAACCAATCTGTGCTTCATGTTTCTCATGGGATACTGTTAACAGATGTACTTATATTAAGCTTATCATGACAAGTAAATTACTTGATGCATGTAAAAAGAACATACTGCATGGCACACAGCAGCGATAGTATTTTTAGGTTTATTTTCTTTGTAAAACTGGTTTATTTTAATCAGACAGTTCAGAAATTAATAGCTTCTTTTCCTTTTAGCTAAGATTAAATGCAATACAATAAGAAGTTAGAATTTTGTAAATAAAACCAGTCACTAGTTAATCCCCAATTATCATTTTAAATCCAGTCCCTCCTCATTAGAAAACTTTTTTTTTATTGTAATGTTTTGTCCTTGTTAGGTTGAACCATGCAAATGTCGTAAAGGCCTGTGATGTTCCTGAGGAATTGAATGTTTTAATTAATGACGTGCCTCTTCTAGCAATGGAGTACTGTTCTGGAGGAGATCTCCGGAAGGTAGTGTGCGTGTTTTGAAATACTGATAGAGTAAATCACAAGCATTAGCAGTGTCTGAATCATAGGGCACCGATCATGGAGAATAAGGATAGACAAGTATAATCCTGCCACCCATACCCTTTTATTGGAGCACAGCACTGCGTGTTTCTGGCTGCATACGCTGTAGAACTGAGTAGTATAACAGAGATTACACGGCTTCCATAGCTTGAAGTATTTAATGTTTGGCTCTTTACAGAAAATACTTGCTAACCCTTGTCTTAGTGTTTTCTATTGCTGTGATAAAGATCACAACCAAAAGCAACCTGGGAAATAAAAACTCACACATATCCTGATCACAGCCCATCATTGAGGGAAACCAAGGCAGGAACTAAAGTGGAAACCACAAGGGAACACTGCTTATTGGCTTACTCTCCATGGCCTGCTCAGTCTGCTTATACAACCCAGGATCAACACCTGCCCAAGTGGCACTTCCCACAGTGGTCTGGGCCCTGCCACATCAGTTGTTTGGTTTTTTGTTTTGTTTTGGTTTTTTGAGACAGGATTTCTCTGTGTAACAGCCCTGGCTCTCCTGGAACTTGTTCTGTAGACCAGGCTGGCCTTGAACTCCCAGAGATCCACCTGCCTCTGCCTTCCAGTGCTGTAATTAAAGGCTTGTGCTACCATGCCTGGCTTAGAACACGCCTTTTTATTGTTGTTTCCAAGATGGGACTACGTTGGCCATTTTAAATAAAAATACATTTGTGAGGCTTAGCACTCAGGAGGTAGAGGCAGGCAGATTTCTGTGAGTTTGAGGTCAGCCTGGTTTACAGAGCTAGTTCCAAGACAGCCAAGGCTACACCAAGAAACCTGGCCTCCAAAAAACAAAACAAGCAAACAAACAAATTGAAAAGAAAGGTGGGGCAGGGGAGAAAACAAAAGAGTTTCTTTTATTATAATTATCCTTTCTACTTAGTTTTAAATGTATTTATCTTTGTTGGCCATTTTTCAATTTCAAGTGCAATTGCCCTTGTCTTTACCTTTTATGAGCCTTCTTTGTGAAATTTACTCAACCTCAATATGTATTTGGTGACTATTTTTTTCTCTTATGTCTCTTGTCATTGTTACTATTTTTGAAGCAGACTCTTTCAGTGTAGCTCATGTTGGCCTTGAGCTCATGGTCCTCTGCCTCATCTTCGCAAGTGCTGGCCTTGTAGACATGTCCCAGTCCTTATAATTTCTTTATTGTGACTTATTTTTTTTTCATTTGACTATTCTTTGACAATATAGTGATTATGTGTGTTGCTACTGGTACCTGGCAATACTATAAAATCGCAGATTTATTTATTTACTTATTTATTTATTTTCATTTTTCTTTAGCTACTCAACAAACCAGAAAATTGTTGTGGACTTAAAGAAAGCCAGATACTTTCTTTACTGTGTGACATAGGTATGTAACCAATATTAAAATATCATTGTGATTTAATTAATGCCTCTTTGGTCCACAAAAACTTCTGTGGAGGATTAGAAGTTAAGGAGAACTGTCTGTATACTCTACAAAGCATGTAAGTTTTTAACATTTATAAAAATGAGGGGAAAAAAATTCTCTGAGCAGTGGTGGTACACACCTTTAGTCCCAGTAACTCAAGAGGCAGAGGCAGGTGGATCTCTGTAAATTCCAGGCCAACCTGGTCTATAGAATGAGTTCCAGGACAGCCAGAGCTCCACAAAGAAACCCTGTCCCAAAAAACCAAACCAAAAAAAAAAAAAAAAGAAAGAAAGAAAAAGAAAAATCCATTTCTAATATTAATTAAAACTAATACATTTTTGGCATTTGTTTCTATTTGGGGTTTCTCTTTGTTGTTTGTTTTTTTTGACCATGTATCCTTGCCTGATAGATGTTCCAATTATAACAAAAAAAATGATATGGAATAGCAACCATTTCATCCCCTCTCACACTTCTTCCCAACATTCTCATAGTAGTTTATAGTGGACTTAAATCTTTGGGGCCTTGGTCCTCAAGTTATACTGGGATGAAATTCTCTTTTTAATCAGAAATCTTACTGGGAAATCCTAAAGTAACTGTAATTTAGATCTTTGAGAGACCTACAAAGCCTGACTTGAGTCTCCCTGTGTGTCAGCTGTTGCTGCTCTTCCTAGGTCACGGGCAGCAGAGTCTAAGAACGTGATTTAGGTTGGAGGAAAAGGCTATAGGCTTACAGGTGTTTCTTAAAAATGGTTTCATTTGCTTTTAATGTTGATTTGAATAAATTAAGTATTGTAGGGAGATATCTAGGCACCTGTGCCACTGACCATGTCCGTTTTGGGCATGGCTATGCATAAAGGCTTTGTACATGTTTAAGACATTTTGTATATTGACACAATTTAGTTGTGTTTCAAGTCTAAATCTTTTCTTTAGATTAAAAGGGGAATTGTAGGGAGAGACCTAGGCACCTGTGCCGCTCTGACTATGCCCATTTTAGGCATGGCCACAGGTGAATATGGGTGTGTGGAATAAAGGGCTGAGGATAGAGGCACTCACTCTTTTCGGGTTCCAGTCGGCTCCCGGAAAGCTTCAGAAGCTAACCTGGGTTACCAGATCTCTTGTAAGTAATTACAATAAATAGCCAACAATACCCTTATCCAATGTACGATTATATTTCCTTTTCATAGTACATAATTTTTCAGTGTTTATTTGGTGATACTGAACATTTGGTGAGGAAAATCTGAACTACTCCAATGTTGGTGATGCAGCAGTGATGGATCATATCAGTGTGTGGGGTGTGTTGTTACATGTGTAGAACATGGTTGTGATTGTTGGGCACACTCACAGGAGCATGCATGTGGAGGCCAGAGCAGCATGTCAGCTGTTCTGTTTCTCTCCACTCGATTGTTTTGAGACAGGGTCTCTGACTGAACGGCAGGCTCCACACTTGGACTAGGCTGGCCACAGACAGCTCCTGAGATCCCCCTCCCCTTCTCAACTCTGCTAGGGTTATGGCTACACACAGCTGTTCTTGGCTTTTTATGTGGGTGGTGGGGATTTGGACTCAGGTCCTCGTGCTTTCAGAGCACTGACTTTTGCCCACTGAGCCATCTCCAAGCCCCTGGACATAGTAATTTATGCATCAGTGTAATCTATGCAAAATGTGAGGTAAAAACTGAATGTGGCTGGATATGGTGGCACCCACCTTTAATTGTAACACTAGGGAAGGTTGGCAGATGGGTTTCTGTGAGTTTCAGACTAGCAGGCCAATCAGGGCTACATAGTGAGACCCTGTGTAAAAAAAAGCTGAGTGTAGTCAAATCTATTAGAGCCCGTTTAAAGGGGTATAAGGGATTTCTTAGGATATACTTAGGTATATAGCCACAGTGGTCTTCTGTTCTGCCCAGGGGTGAAAGGACCCAGCAGTCTGATCTCTGACCAACACATGAGAGAGAGCAAGCACACCCCCTTTCCTTTTAAGAGTTCATGTGGGCAGACAAGATGCACAGCCTCTATCAAGCCAGATAGCCCAAGGTCATGGGTGGAGCCAATACTCACTGCAGCTGAGTGTGCTGGTGCACACCTGCAGTCCCAGCACTTGGGAGGTAGAACAAGCCGATTAGGAATTGGAGGTTGTCTTCAGCTGCATAGGGAATTCCATGCCAGACAGGGTTACATGAGACACTGTTTCAAAAACATTAACAGTAAAAACAAACAAAATGTGAGATGATTTTATAAACAGTATTTTCTGTTACTTCATAATACATTTGAAACTTTATTTAGGATCTGGAATTCGATATTTGCATGAAAACAAAATAATACATCGAGATCTAAAACCTGAAAATATAGTTCTTCAAGATGTTGGTGGGAAGGTAGGTGAAACCTGAAGACTGCTTCTTGCTTGTTGTTATAGTCTTTCTGTATATTGTCTTCAGAGATTTTAGTGTCCTTATTCATCTGCAGACATGGTACTTTATAAATTTTCTACTGTAGACTTCACTGTATGGAGTTGTAGGGGCTTTTTAGTTTTAGATTTTTTATGATTATTAATTATTGCTGTTGTTATATTTTATGTGTACCACGTGTGGTGCTTTGGGGGGGGGTCCAAGAAGAGAACATCAGTTTCCCTGGGACTAGAATTACAAATGGTTGTGAGCCACTGTGTGGGTGCTTACAGTTGAACTCGGGTCCTCTACAAGAACAGCAGGTGCTCTTCACTGCTTAACCAACTCTCTAGGCCTGAACTGTCGCTTGTGGTTAGATTTTTGTCTTCTCTGCAGATCGATTGCTCCCTACAGAAGCATCTGTCTTGCTCACCTCCGGATTAGGAATGTTGATCTAATTGTATAGGAAATGGCCAGAGATTAATTAACTTCATCAAGATTATACGGTTAGCCAAGCCTATTACCTGACATCTATAATCCCAGCTTTTGGGAGTCTTTGGCAGGAGGGTTACCATAATTTGATGCCAGCTTGGGTTACAGTGGAGACCTTGTCTTAAAAATTAACAACAGGAGTTGGAGAGATGGATGCTCTTCCAGAGGTCCTGAGTTCAATTCCCAGCAAACACATGGTGGCTCACAACCATCTATAATGGGGTTTGGCACCCTCTTCTGGTGTGCAGGTGAACATGTTGACAGCACTATATACATAATAAATAAATGTCTTTAAAAAAAAAAAGGAAAGAAAGAAATTAACAACAACAAAAAGATTAACACAGCTAGTTAAATAGCGATCAGGCTATCAGAGTTCGCATTTTTGTGTTGTTCAGAGCCCAGATTCTTTACCATCTCCTCTTCAGTTTTATAAAAACAATATTGCCTTCTTAAAATTACATTTTATTTATTTAGTTTTTGTGCATGAGTACATGTGCTGTGACCTGTGTGCAGGTCATGGGACAACTTAGCAGGGGTTGGTTCTTCTTCTCTTATGTGGATCCTGGGGACCAAATTTAGATTATCAGGCTTGGTGACAGGTACCTTTATCAGCTGAGCCATTTCAATAGCCTATCTTTTTATTTTTTGCTGTGGTTAGGATTTAACCTACCATATACATGCAATGGGAGCAATCTGTTACTAAGCTACACTCTCAACCTACCTTTCTTTTGCAAATCTATTAGCAATTTAATATATGTTATGTCTTAATATTCACAGATAATGCATAAAATAATTGATTTGGGTTATGCCAAAGATGTTGATCAAGGAAGTCTCTGTACATCTTTTGTGGGAACATTACAGTATTTGGTGAGTCATTTCTTTAATTTGATTACTTAAAATTCTCATTGTTTTTTCTGAAGGCAAAGAATATAGTAGTTCAAAACAATAGTAGCTCTTTTCTCACAGTGTTGGAACTTAAAGTACTTTCTATTTTAAGGCCCCAGAGCTGTTTGAAAATAAGCCGTACACAGCCACTGTGGATTATTGGAGCTTTGGGACCATGGTGTTTGAGTGTATTGCCGGATATAGACCTTTTTTGCATCATCTGCAGCCATTTACCTGGTAAGAAATTATGAGAACTTTGGCATAACCAGTAGTAATAGAAAAAAATTTTCAGTTGTTTCCTTTTCTCTTTCTATGGTGGTGAAATTGTCTTTTAACACAGAATTGAATGAATTTAAATGGCAAGAGACCTTGAGAGTATTTGTGAGAATCAGGTTGTCCACTTAGGTGTCTTGTTTTTATAGGCATGAGAAGATTAAGAAGAAAGATTCAAAGTGTATATTTGCATGTGAAGAGATGACTGGAGAAGTTCGGTTTAGTAGCCATTTACCTCAACCAAACAGCCTTTGTAGGTAAGTGTGGGAGGTCAGGCAGTTTTGAGAATAGTTATGTGTTTCAAGTAGCATTATTCAGTAGACCTTCCCATGAGGATGAAAGCACTGTCTTCTGTCACTTGAAGCTCATCGAGCATGTGAAAGGTAGTTAGGGGTGGAGATATGGCTGAGTGGTACAGTGTTTGCTTAGTGTGCTTCTGGCTTTGCTGCTCAGCACTGCCTGGGCTGGCAGAGGAGTGTGGTTAGTGTGACTGAGGAACTGAATTTTAAATGAGTAGTAATTATAAAAAACATCGTGATAGGTGATTATCCTATGGGATAACAGCCGTTGTGGAACTGATAACTATTACCAATCAATGGATTGCCTTAGATGCTAAGAAAACCCAAGGAATAAAGGAGTAAATGGCATTTTTGAAGATTGGAGTTGGACTCTTCTTTCTTTTGGATTTGCCAGTCACAAAGTAACATGGGGATTTGGGTTTTTTTTTTTTTATGGAATTCATGAATTATTTGAAAGTAAGATATAAATGGTACTGATAAGTCATGGGCAAGGAAATGGACGACCTGTGAAGTTGCCTGTTTAATTGGAACATAATGATATTCACACAGTTTTTGTTCTTTTTTCAGTTTAATAGTAGAACCCATGGAAAGCTGGCTACAATTGATGCTGAATTGGGACCCACAGCAGAGAGGGGGACCTATTGATCCTTCTTTGAAGCAGCCAAGATGTTTTGTATTAATGGATCACATTCTCAACTTAAAGGTCAGTTTTAATGGGGTGTATAATACCAGCATTGACCTTAACAAGTTGAAAATGAATATAAACTTATATTAATGGTCTTTTCCTGGTGTCCCCTTAAAAATGTACATTATATACTTAGAGTGGATCCTTTATTTCTTTAGCCAGGGTTTCAGGTGCCTTCAGTAGCCTTTTAAAGTGTCTTTTGGGATTTCCTTTTACTACATTGATTGGTGCATCATCTTCCCTACCCTGAAGGGATCTGAGTCCATCCCATGATATAGTGCAGCACCACTATTTACTTGTCAGTGAATATGAGCAAATATTTACCTTCTGTTTATCTTGAGTAAATTGAAATTTCTCAAAGCATCAATCTTAGGAGGTTGTGCAGAACAAAGAAACTATGGAGTACTATTCGTAGAATTTGGGAGGCTTTAAGCACAATTTCCTAAACTGGAACTAGGACTGAATTTTGTAGAATTAGAGTTAATATGGGAAAGAGGAGAGTAAGAGAGATTTATAGGCTGGGGATGCAATGAACAAAACACAGAAACACTGAGTTTAAAAAGCTTTGGTGTTATTGGGCATTTTCTTAAGGTGTCTTCAGATACAAGGTATCAGGAAGGCATGCTGTCATGGCAACAAAATAGTTGTTGAAATATTTTTCTTAAAGAAAACACTTCAAAGAGTCTAATTAGGTAAGTATTTTCCCAACCATTATGAAAAGGCTTAAACATAAAAATAATGAAAAAAATAGAAATATTTCATTCTTCTTCAGTGCTGGAGAGATAGCTCAGCTGTTGAGAGTGCGTGTTGCTCTTACCAAGGACCCAAGTTCATTTCCCAGCATCCACATTGGACATCTCACAAACCTCCTGTAACTCCAGATGCATGGGATCGGATATTCTCTTCTGGCATCTGAGTACACCTGCACACACTTACATCCTTAAGCAGTCTCTTCAAACATACATACATACATACATACAGCTTTTTTTCCTGTTACCATTAATTATGTCAAAATTTCTTCTCCATTTCTTTCACTGAGCCTGTAAGTGAGCATGAGACTGGTTTTTTTTTTTTTTTTTTTTTTTTTGTCCTTGGACCCTTAAGCAGACTACAACTCTAGGGTTTAGTTGCTTTGGGAGAATAATAATGCTTTTTCCTGTTGAAAGAGAGAGTTCATTTTCTTTATCAGATAATTGTTTCTTGAGGCAACATGAGATAGTTAAAGTTGAGATCCACATTCTACCATTCATCAGATGAGTGATCCATAACAAACTACTCACCTTTTTAGAAGCCTGATTTCTCCTTCTGTTAAAAGGGAGGTTAGAAGGTCTAAGTATTGGGGTGTTGTGTGGAAGCTCTTTACTCTGTGGTTGGCATTTATGAGAAATTTCATAAATGGCAGTGTTTCCTTCTAGGGCTGTAATAATGTCTCTTGAAATAAGTTTTTCAAACTAAAACTCTGGTTTTTGATTTTAAGCATCCTTAGAACTTCAAAATTTTGTTTGATAAACTATTATGTGTCTGGGCATAGTAATGCATACCTTTCATCCCGGCTCTGGGAGGCAGACACCGATGACGCTGTACAGAGTGAATTCCAGGACAGCCAGGGCTACAGAGTCCCTTTCTCAAAACCAACTAAACCAAACAAACTCCTTGTATATTTACAAAAATAATTCAGGTGTTTGTCTTGTAAGGTGTAAGTTTGTAATTATAGATAATTTTATTACTTTGGAGGAGCAAGCCTTATTTAGTAACAGAAGTAATGCCTATTGCTTAGATTTCCCCCTTTAGTATCTGTTCACAAAATTGTTTATGTAATAAGTCTTCAATAAACCTTTTTTTCTTATTTATACAGATAGTGCACATCCTAAATATGACTTCTGCAAAAATCATTTCCTTTCTGTTACCATGTGATGAAAGCTTTCATTCACTACAGTCTCGTATTGAGCGTGAAACGGGAATAAGTACTGGTTCTCAAGAACTTCTGTCAGAGACAGGAATTTCTCTGGATCCTCGGAAACCAGCCTCTCAATGTGTTCTAGATGGAGTTGTAAGAGAATTTTTTGTGTGTGTGGGGGGGTGGGGGGGCTGTGGATCAGGGTCTTGCTATATGGCCTCTAACTCACAATCTTCCTGCCTAAGGGAACTGGAATCACAGGCCTAAGCTACCTGCACAGGTTTTTGTTTTGTTTTCAGTTGACTAATATTTGTACTTATGGAGTGCTGTGTAGTAATTCAATACATGTGTAACTGTGTAATGATTCAACTAAGATAAACATCCCCTTGACTATTGCCATTTCTCTGTGTTGGAACTTGCAAAGTCTTTTTCCTTTACTTATGTTAAAATATATTACTATTATGTAGACTATGGTTACCCTGCTGTCTGTAGAAACTGGCTAAAAATTTAGATGCATATATACACAGCTGGGTATAGTGGTGCATACTTTTAATTCTCAGCATTTGTTAGTTCAAGGCCAGCCTGGTCTACATAGTGGGTTTGAGGCCAGCCAGGGCTATGTAGAGCGTTTCTGTCACAAAAAAAGTTTCTTACTTTTGTTTTCTTTCTTCTCATTATAGATACATATATTGCATGCCATATAATTTACCCATCTCAAATGTAATTCATAGAATTTACAAAAATAACCCTGTCTTAAAAAAACTACAAAAAAAGAATTTTCAAGAATAAATTTTAATCATTATAAAATATTCCTATTCCTCATGTCCATTAACTCTTACATTTCCATTCCACCCTCCCATTTACTTACGTTCGGTTTATAGATTTGCGTGCATGTGTGTGTATGGCTATATGTTTGTATGTGTGCATATGTTTATGAGGGTATATGTACATAACATGCCTATGAAGGCCAAAGGTCAGCCTGTTGCCATTCCTCAATAACAGTCATCTTCTTTGTTTTGAGAAAGGTTCTCTCATTGGTCTGAAACTTATTGATTAGGCTAAGCTAGTGGAATCACGAAACCCAACTGTTTTTTTAAACGTGGGTTCTGGTGATTGTTATTGGGTCTTCATGCTTGTATAACAAGTGTTTTACTGATGAACTATTTCTACAACTCTAGCATTATGTTTTTGAGTGTTATCAGTGCTATAGGGTGTTTCATTCCTGTTGGACCTTTTGAGAAAGAGTCTTGCTGTGTAGCCCAGGCTGACTCTCACCCTACCCTGTGTTGGGATTACTCTAGTACCTACTCTTTTCCTTTTGTTTACTACTGAGTGATTCATTCACCAATATGACCTTTGGTATTTGTTCTTTTGGCTTTTAATTGCTAAGGTTAGAAACTTACTTTGTTTTTCCTAATTTTTTAAGTTAACAGACAAAATGATGGGTTTTGTTATGGCATTTTTATGCATTTATATTCACCATAGTTTTTCTTATTTCTATCTCATCCATTTTGCCCTTCCTTTGTTCGTCTTTCTCTCTCCAAACAGTCTTCCCTCCTGCTTCCTTGTCACATGAACCCCATTACCCTCTCCCCAGACCTGGTCTGTTGGTTGTTTTGAGTCTGCTGATCAGTCTTCACTTTGACCTGCATATCTTTTTACTCACCCTTTTCCCACGTCTGTAAATTATATGTGAATGCACATTGACTTTGTTCAGTACATTTCAAAGAAGGAAATCTGGACTTGAGTATTTGTAAAATCTAGAATTTTCAAGAATCTTTGAGTTTTAATTGTTTCTTTTTTCAGAGAGGCTGTGATAGCTACATGGTTTATTTGTTTGATAAAAGTAAGACTGTATATGAAGGACCATTTGCATCCAGAAGTTTATCTGATTGTGTAAATTATATTGGTAAGTAGAGTCCAGTTAGTGGCTGAACTTTAATCTTGAAATTTCATGATTAGTAAATATTATTTTTTAGTGGTTTTGTTCACTATCTCCTATTTGAGGTTCCTATATGTGGTGAAAATGGATTTAATGTAGTTTGGAAGGTGTAAAGGTAGATTTTAAATTACCACTAGACCCTTCTCTTGGGAGGAGATTTCTCTTTCTGAGGATAGGACTCTACAGATAGGAGAATGAAAGCCCACTGCACTGTGCCTACGTTTTAATTGTTCCTTTGTTAGGTGTGTTCAGATATTTACACACAGCTTTGCCTGTAAATTTCATAAAGCTGAGCTGGTGTTCAGAAACTGAAAAGACTGGTGGACTGTGGAGGAGAAGGAACTTGAACCAAAGCTTTTAGAAGGAAAGAATTTGGATTAACAGAAAGAAAAGGAGTATTCTTGACTTCTTGACTGGAGAGAAGCAAGTTTAAAAGAAAAACATACAGGAATAATCTCAAGCTCTTTGAGAGAAGTGGCTATGTTATTCAGACACACAACCATTACATTTGAGCCAGGCAGTAGATTCTTTTTAACATCTATGGGAATAGTTTTTGGAAAGGAAGTCAAAAAGAATGAACTATAATGTCTTTGAAAGTGGCTTACCTGTCTTATTACCATTTTACTTATAGTTCAAGACAGCAAGATACAGCTTCCAATTATACAGCTGCGTAAAGTGTGGGCTGAAGCGGTGCACTATGTTTCTGGGCTAAAAGAAGACTACAGCAGACTCTTTCAGGGACAAAGAGCGGCAATGTAAGTGGGTTTTGTTTTGTTTTTTTTACATAACACCAGGTGTATCATGTACTCAAGAATTATTCTTGCCAGTTTTCACTAAGCATAATTGTGTACAAGGCTAAAATATTGAACTTTTTTGAAATGTAATATTGTTTAATAATGTGTTTATGAGCATGTGAATGGATGCACACATGGAAGCCAGGGTTGATGTTGGTTATCTTTCCCTTATTGTTTTCTCACCTAATATTTGAGGCAAGATCTCTTACTAACCCTGGAGCTCACTGTTTTAGCTACACTGAATAACCCATGAGCTCCTAGGTTAGCCTGTTTCCCCAGGCCTCCAAGCACTGTCGAGGCAAGCACACACTGCCATGTACTAAACTGAGGTCCTCATGCATGCAAGCTCTTTGCCCACTGTGCCATCACTCTGACTCCATTGAAATGCAGCGTTCTTCTTATTAATGGTCTAAAACCATTCAGCTGTAGTGCCTTGAGAATTCTAGTTCCTGAGTGGTCTTAGCTGGAGACCATCACAGTCTGGAAATGGGTCAGCTGTTTCTCAGGATTTGATAATAGAAACTTAGGATTTGGAGTTTGGATACTGTATGTTTGTGAATTGTTATTCAATGTTTCTGAATATTGATAATTTTGTTTTGTTTTGCTATGGCTTAGGTTAAGTCTTCTTAGATATAATGCTAACTTGACAAAAATGAAGAATACTTTGATCTCAGCATCACAGCAACTCAAAGCTAAATTGGAGTTTTTTCACAAAAGCATTCAGCTTGACTTGGAGAGATATAGTGAGCAGATGACTTATGGGATATGTAAGTGTCTGGCTGTAATGTATTTGTAAGGAATGTCTAGTCTCTCAAAACCATCTGCTCTTTTATCTTATTGACACATAGCCAGTAATTTAAATTCACAGCAGAACAACATGCAGGATAACTTAAGTTGTCAAATGTTTTTGTTTTGAGGGTGAATCCATGGCCATCATGGTGGGAAGCATAGTGACTGGCTGGCAGGCAAGCAGGCGTGGCTCCAGAGCAGCAGCTGAGTGCTTACATTTGATCCATTCACGGGGTGCAGTGAAAGTCCACTCCCACTGACCGTTCTTCCAAAAGGGCCACACCCACTAATCCATCCTAAACAGTCCCAACAGGAACCAAACATTCAGATATATGAGCTTATGGGACCATTCTCACTTAAACCCATTAATGACATTAAGTTTTGGGGAAAAGCATCTATAGGCTGTTTTACTTATGAGAGAATAGAGAATATATCTTCTAACAGTTATATTAGTGAGAACACTTGGAGTATAGGGAAGAGTCTTTTCTTTTTTTATATGCTTTTATACTTTTTATTTGTTTAATTTTATAGTACTGGGGATTGAATCCTGATCCTTGTGTTGTTGGTTTGCTTTTTGTTTTTCACACAAGATCTCATGTAGCACTGGCTGGCCCAGAACAGGATCATTATGTAAACCAAGCTGACCATGAACTCCAGAGATCAACCTGTTTATGCCTCTCAAGTGCTGGAATTAAATGTGTGCACAGCTACATGTAGCCAAACTCAGAGCCTTGTGTATGTTAGGCGAGTCTACCTCTGAGCTACAGTACACATTTACCTTTTCTGAAACATTTTATGCATTGCTTTAAGATAATATTTTTGGATAAAAAACTATATACTATTCTCCTAGAACTTCCATAACAACTCTATGGCTTAAAACAGCATAGATGTAAAAACTCAGAATTTTTAAGGCTAAAATCCAAAATCAAGATGCTAGCAAAGCCATGATTCCTCTTAAACCTGAGAAAAAGAATCTTTCCTAACTTTCTAAGGTTACCAACCATGCTTGGTGTTCATTTGCTTGTAGCTTCTAATAGGCTTATGAACATTAAATGGAAATCAATAAAAATGGAATGTCACATTACGTTCTCCTTTTGTGTTTCTGTATACCCCTGCTCCCTAAGTCTGTTCTCTAAGGATACTGGAAAAGAGTCATGCTACAGTTAGGGCCTAGTTCAGTGTGAGAACATACATAGGTGATTAACTCTATAAGTTACCCCATTTCCAGTGAGGTCACCTTCCAAGTGTTGGGGCTTAGGAGTACTGCATATCCATTTGAGAGACACTTGAACCCATTGTGTATCTGTGATGTTGATAGAGAAGGAAATAACCAGGCTAATGTTTAAAGACAGCAGTTGTTTCAGAGGAAACCAGTGTAGACTTGATTTTTTTTTCTTTTTCTTTTTCTTCTTTTTTTAGCTTCAGAAAAAATGCTAAAAGCATGGAAAGAAATGGAGGAAAGGGCCATTCACTATGCTGAGGTAAAATCATTGAACCCATTCTGTGTATTTAATGTCTCTATTAGAAATTATCTTTGGTTTTTGGTATATAAAGAATATTTATCATATCATTCCTGAAATTCAGACAAATATCTAGTACATGCTTTATATAGAGGGAGGACAGTATGGGCTTTAAAACCAAAGGCTTTGGGCAAACTTTTTAGCTTCACCGAGCTTCAGTTTCCTTGTTATATATATTAGGGGCAGCAATCTTTTCTAATAGGCTTATGAACATTAAATGGAAATCAATAAAAATGGAATGTATTGCTATTATTTTTCTGACTGGTTTAGATAAAATGGCTTCACATCTGTTTTTAAATGGGGAAGTTCTATTTATACCTGATGTTGTTCCGTAATTATGGTCTCCTGAGGGAGGTATAGACTGTTCCCTAGGATGCAAATTCCTTCCTTATCCTGTATGTCTGTGGTCCCAGACTGTTGCTTTCCTTGGTGCCAGTACATGTGGATAGGGCAGTTGGTGTCATGAGTCTGATATGTAAGAAATGGCAGTGGGTTAGTGGCCAATTGTCTTATGAATGGCACTTTTATTATTTTGCTTCTCCAGAGGCCAAAGCAGATGTTAGTACTAGTTAGCTGTGGTCAGAAGGGAAACACAGGAATAAGTATGTTTTTATTATTATTGTTTGAGACAGGGTCTCACTGTGTAACCCCAGCTGTTCTGGAATTCACTCTGTAGACCAAGCTAGTTTGACTCACAGAGAGGCACTTGCTTTTGCCTCCTGAGTGCTTGGATTAAAGGTACATACCATTGTACCTGGCATAAGGTGTTCTTACATGAAAGATTGTCAGAAGCATAAGAAACCCCCATCATATGAGGAGCTATTAACAGTTATGGTTGCTTGGGGAGAAATAGTTGGCTTTCTTTTTTCTTTTTTCTTTTTTTTTTTTGTTTTTTGTTTTTTGTTTTGTGAGATAGGGTTTCTCTATATTGTTTTGGAGGCTGTCCTGGAACTCACTCTTGTAGACCAGGCTGGTCTTGAACTCACAAAGATCTGCCTGCCTCTGCCTCCCGAGTGCTGGGATTAAAGGTAAAAGGCGTGCACCACTACCGCCCAGCAAGAGTTGGTTTTCTTTAATGAGGTAGTCATTAGTAGTTTGATCATGCCATATCATACCTCACATTCATTAGTATATGAGCATGCCAGATTGGAACTTATGGGTTATTTAAAAACAAAAGAAAAAGGACATGGATTTGGGAGGGGTGAAAGGGGTCTAGATCTGGGAGGATTAGGAAGGGTAATGGGGATTAAATACAAAATGTATTGAATGCACCTATGAAATTCTCAAAGAATTACGGCTAGAAATATTGTCCTGTCTTGGTTTTTGAATAGCTTTAACAAGCTTAGTGTGGTGCTTAATCCCAGCATGCAGGAAAAATAAGACCAGGAGAATTAAAGGTTCAAGAATAGCTTAGGCTCCATAATACCACTGTCTCATTAAATAAGCAAATGATTAGCGTTAATAAAATTGCTTTGTTGTAAATATTCAGTTCTACTGGCATAACAGATCATTTAAGATTTAAGCCTTTTTAAAAATTTTAAACATAATTCTTATTGATTCTTTGTTTCATATTATGTACCCCAATCCTGCTCACCTCCCAGTTCCTCCATATCTGCTCTTTCCCCCTGCAAGTATGTCCCCCAAATTACTTGAAAACAAGATAAAACAAACAAAAACCCACCTTGTTCCTCCATCTTTTCAACACCTCTTCATTCATCCTGGTGATATCGGGAGCTGCAGTGTATCACACAGTGTACCCCTTTTGTCCACACAGACTCACCAGCAAAATGAGTCATTGGTCTGGTTCAAGGCCTCTGATGCACCATCATCACTGAGCCCTCATTGAAACTGTTCTCGGATATCCTGTTGTCATAGTGCGCAAGACCAATCCCTTTGCGTACTCCAGCAGGTCATAAATGGGGCAGCTGTTAGGGTGGGCCAACCCAAGGCCCAGGATAAGGGTCTGGGTGCTAATTGAACTGTTTGGTCTGGGCCATTGGTGCCATCCCCTCAGACAAGGGTCAAAGCCAGCTCCCCTAGACCCATGACATCGGAGCCAGCTCTCCCACGCCTGTGGTGAGGGGTGGCACATTGAGCCTTGTTTTATATGGTGGTAAGCCTGTCATTTTCTTTGTGTCATATTTTAGGTTGGTGTCATTGGATACCTTGAGGATCAAATTATGTCTTTGCACACTGAAATCATGGAACTTCAGAAAAGCCCCTATGGAAGACGCCAAGGAGACTTGATGGAATCTCTGTAAGAATGTATATGTGCTGTTGGTCTTGATTGTATAATTTTTTGTGTTCTTTCTACTTATATCTGACAGGATTAAGCCTTTGCATGGTATAGCTCATGATTTTTCTTACCCCTTATATATTCCTATGATTTTTTTGACATTATTTCATTGGGGGGGGTCCACCATCACAATGTATACATGTAGAGATCATAGGACAAAATTGTGAGATGGTTTTCCGCTTCCACCGTGGTGGGCCAAGGTATTGAACTCAGGTTGTTAGACTTGGCAGCAAGTGCTTTTACCCACTGAGTCATCTCTCCAGCCCTTACAATATTTAAAAAGGAAGCTATTTCTTAGTAATAGTGAGTTTGGGAAATAACTATTTGGATTGTTCTTTACTATTTTTTTAAAAAGTCTCTTTTTCATGTATTTTTAATAAGAATAGTAAAATTACAAATGATTTCCGATTTATTCCCCCTTTTGGTCCAAGGAATAATCACTTAACTCTATTCAGGTTAATTTCCTAAGTGCCTAGATTAGAAACTTCAGATTTTTTTCTCTAATAATGAGACATAATTTTTTCCTATTTAAATGTTTCTGGTACATGGGCGTTAGTTACATTTGTGGTGGAAGACCTGAGCAGATATGCAGTCTATAGAAACTTTGTTTTGGAGACTAAGGACATGATGGCAAAGCACTTACTGCTCGAGCTTGAGGACCCACTCTAAGGTTAGGTGTGGTAGCATGTTTGCAATCCCAGTGCTTCTGCAGTGAGAGGGAGGCAGCAGCACACAACAGAGGCCTGTCTAAAGTTGACAGCAAGGACTGACCCCACGTTAGCTTCTGACCACCTCACAAGGAATATGCATGCGTGCCTCTCACTCAGACAAACACACAGGCACAGTTGGTTCTTGGTTCTTGGTTTTTTTAAAGCTCCACATTATCAGGACTTGCATTCTTTGTTTTTCAAGACGGGGTTTCTCTGTGTAGCCTTGGCTGTCCTGGAACACACTCTATAGACCAGGCTGACCTCAAACTCAAAGAGATCCACTTACTTCTGCCTTACACCTGCTGGGATTAAAGGCGTGTGCCGCCACCACCACCTGATTTAAGGACTTGTATTCTTATTATTCAACAAAATGTTCAGTAAAATATGCATTAATGATCTGTACTTACTTAAAAATTGGATCTTGTCCCAATAACCGATATTATTCAAGTTGAATATTATTACTCATTAAGTTACTTCTACTTACAGAGAAGTTTTTGTTTTTCTCTTTTGTAGGGAACAACGTGCCATTGATCTCTATAAGCAGTTAAAGCACAGACCTACAGGTAAGACACTTCAATCGCAATATTTAAAGGTGTTTTAGGACACTCCCTAACTTAATAAAGTAAGTGAATTTTTATTTTTTTTTAAACTTCAGAGTAAGATCCTGTTTTGGTATTGTTTTCACAATACTTATGTCATAATAGCTTTAAATTTATAAGAATTTAAGAGAATAGAAAGGGAATGTAATAAGGATATTGGAATAGAAAAGTTGTTAAGTGAAGTGAGAGGAGAGGATAAAAGAGAAAACTCAAAAACGGAAAAAAAGGAAGAAATGGGGGCAGTGGCTCAGTGATAAAGTGCTTACTATACCAACGTGAGATGCTAAGTTTAGGCTCCAACCACTCACATAAAATCCACAGATAGCAGCACACCCCTGCGGTGGCAGCCGTCCTGGCGAAGTGGAGGCAGAGGGATTTCTGGGACTCAGTGACCAGTCCAGCTGAAACAGCATGCTTCAGGTACACTGAGATACCCTAGCTCAATAAATAATGTGACAAGCCATCAAGGAAGATACCTGAAAGTGGCCTCAGCCCTCTATGCATACATGCATACCATCCCCAAGAAAAAGGAAGAAACAACCCCCCAAAAATGTGTAAAAGGTTGGGGGGAGATATTGCTTAAGTTAGAGAAGTTGGAAAGAATTCAGTGCAATGGGTTCTGGTGGAATGATGAGACGAGAAGTGCGTAGTCTCTTCGGAAGCAATTTTGTCTTGAAAAACCATGCCTGTACCAGCACAGGTCACTGCTCATAGGTCCTTGGGACAAAAATTTTTACTGAACATCTGCCAGATACAGAGAGCATTGGCTCCTTGAAGGAGTGTTGGTTGGAAACCCGAAGATTTGAATTCTAAGTTGGTTATTTTACTGACCAAATAATCTCCAACACTTCTCCCTGCTTCTATTTCCTTTTGTGCAAAACAAGTTGAAACCTAGCCCTCTGACTCAGTAAGCTTTAGCAGTATATTTGAGAGAGTGCTTATGAAAGGCTTTGAAAACAGTAAATTAGGATATATATGCAAAACACTTTTATTTTACTTAAAATATATTTATTTTGAAGGATTACATAAATAATAAAAAGGGATATCTGTGCTCCTAAATATATGTATTTTAAAAAAATTTATTTAACTTATATGTAAAGTTTTTAAGTTTTATACTTGAAAATTTATAAACATATGGAACTTTATATAATATTTACACTATCTTTAAAAAAAGCAGCCTACTCTAAACACTTTGTTTTTTAATTTTTTTGAGATTTTATTTTTAGTTTACAAATATGAGTGTTTTACCTGTGTATCAGTACACCATGTGTATGTAGTGCCTGCAGAGGCCAGAAGAGGGTGTTGGATAACTAGACCTGGGGCTACAGGTGACCATGTGGGTGTTCTGAACCTCTGGAAGAGCAGCCAGTGCTCTTAAGTGCTGAGCCATCTCTCCAGCCCCATATGCTGGTTCTTATTGTAGTAGAATTTGATCGGCTTATTGCTACAAGTACTCATGAAATACATGTCAGACAGGCATTTAACTTTATTGGTGGTCAGGTTGTTCAGAAGTGCTTCCCTGCAGGAGGTAAAATTTGAAAACAGTGTAAACTAACTTTCTCTGCCCTCTTCTGACAAAAGCTGAAGTTCTGAGGTCTTTACCATTAAAAGAACTAGTCCTAAGGGAAACCTCTTGGGTTTGGTTTGTGGAGTTTATGAAGGACTACTGTTTGGAGAAAAGTATTTTTGGAGCCTTGTATCTGCTTGGGTGAGGGTGTGGGGGAGGCAGAACAAGAGAGATAGAGATTCTGGGAATGTAGCTGGACTGTGGGAGAGGCTTCTGGAATGATTTTAAAGAGAACAGATTTTTTTTTCCTTCTCTTGCAGTACTGGGGATCCAATATTTATGCCTTGTATATGCTTAAGCAGGCACTAGCACTACCTCTAAGCTCCATTTTCATAACCATTCAACCTCTTGAAACTCATAGTTTTCTTTTTTGGGAGTAACACAGAAAAAACATTAATGGAGGAAAGTTTGTGCAGTTAATAGCAAGTATTAGCAATAGTGGTATTTTTGCTTTCAGGCTTATTGCCCAAGAAAATGCCAAGATGATACATCAGCCGTTTTTTGCTCTTTTAAACTTAAATTGCCACATACTGAAATGCAAAAACTAATGCTAGTAGTTTTAAAAACTGAAATAGTATTACTTATAAACTGTAGAACTCAGTGTAACCAACAACCATGCATTTGAGGACATCTTCCAGATGCAAGTTGGCTTTAGGGTAAATTTCCAGGTGTCCACTGATCCCTTTTATTAGTATATCAGGTTTGGTTTAAGTCAGCTCTTTTTCAGATGAAGTTTTTGTAAGTTGTAAACAGATGGATTAGCAGCCTGGTTGGGGCAGTGAAAGCCTACTGTTCTAAGTAAACAGTGTTAATCATGTAAGAAAGCTGGTCTCTTGACCAAAGGTTGCACCTGTATCTGAATTTGGGTTAGTACAGGTTAAAGGTCAACCAGGCTATTCATCTCAAACAGACAACATAAGTCTCTAAAAATTAAATGCATACAACCACACATAAATTTACTTTCTGGGAAATATTTATGTCTGTGGGTGTGGGTGTATGCTACATGGGGATGTGGATGGAAGTTTCTGTCCTGCCCAGTCCCAAATAAACACACAGAGGTTTATATTAATTATAAACTGTTTGACTGATGGCTCGGGCTTCTTATTGGCTTGCTCTTTCTTAATCATTATCCCATTTCTGTTAATCTGTGAATCTCCACGTGGTCTTGGCTTACCGGAGAATGCCTGGACATCCTTCGTTCCTGGTAGCTACATGGCGTCTCCTTGACTCTGCCTACTACCTTTCTCTATCCCTGTTTAGATTTCCTGCCTGGCTAACTCCTGCCTGTCCATTGGCTGAAACAGCTTTATTCATCAACCAATAAGAGAAACATATATTCACAGCATGCAAAGGACCTCCCCTTCATAGGGATACCCACAGAGGCCCTCAGATTCTCCTGGAGATGGAGTTATAGGTGTTTGTGAGCTGTAACATGGGTGCGAATCTGTCCTTTAGAAGAACAACAAGAGCTCTTGACAACTATGCTCAGCCCCATAACTTTACTTTTTGTGTATAGTTATCATTGAACTATACCTCCAACCCCTTAGACTTTATTTATAGATAATCTTAAAATTTTTTTAAGGTTTTATTCATTGAGTATACAGTGTTCTGCCTGCATCTATGCTTGCATGCCAGAAGAGGGCACCAGATCTTTTTACAGATGGTTGTGAGCCACCATGTGGTTGCTGGAAATTGAACTCAGAACCTCAGGAAGATCAGTCAGTACTCTTAACCTCTGAGCCATCTCTCCATCCCTGATAATCTTAAATTTTTTTTAAATCTAAGTTTTAATTTAAATTGCATTGTATAAACTTTTTATGAGGAGATGTGAACATCTATTCAGTGGTTTTTTTCTGGAGAAAATGTTTCTTCCCTCTTTTCTCTGTCTCTCTGCAACTGATAACCTGTTTTAGATCTTTCTGGGGGGATAAGGCTCCCCTCCCCCACTGCTGTTAGCTACTTATAAATCCTTGGGGAGTATTGAAGGATAAACCATGGGAAGACCTCAGGAGCCCCTTTCTGCATCGACAGAATCATTGTCTTATTAGATCTCACAGCTTCTGAGATCTCCTTAAGGTAACAGCAGTGTCATACCTCAAGGACAGCATTCCATAACAAATGGAGTTTTTTTTTAGACTACTTGCAGGTTTTTAAAAGTTTTTAAGGAACTTTTGTTTGGAAGTTGGTGTTTTCTTGATGAGAGATTAGAAGCACACTAACTGAAATCTTTTGCAGATCACTCTTACAGTGATAGCACGGAGATGGTGAAGATCATTGTGCACACTGTACAGAGTCAGGACCGCGTTCTCAAGGAGCTGTTTGGTCACCTGAGGTAGAGACATTGCTTCATCTCCTGCATGCCAGTGTGTTTGTGTTCCTTTTCAAATATAATACTCTTGTTTGGTAAACAATAGTTGTGTCAATATCTTGGAAAATAGCCATTTATAAGCCCTAAGTATATGCATTACTTTTTATTTATTTGCATGGGTGTTTTAATTACACGTTTGCCCCATGTGAGTGAGATCAGAAGAGAGTATCTGATATCCTGGAACTGGAGTTACAGATGGTTGTGAGCTGCCATGTTGGTGCTGGGAATTGAACTGAGGTCCTCTGGAAGAGCAGCCAATGTCCTTAACCACTGAACTGTCTCCCCAGCCCCTATGTTCATTGTTTTTGAGATCAGTCATAAATGTGATATAGTTGTGGTTCATGTTTGCTGGGTTTGGGAGTATGTTACACAGTCTTGAGGGATGTGACAAGTATCTGACACTGACTTACTTTCTCCAGCAAGTTGTTGGGCTGTAAGCAGAAGATTATTGATCTACTCCCCAAGGTGGAAGTGGCCCTCAGTAACATCAAAGAAGCTGACAACACCATCATGTTTATGCAGGGAAAGAGGCAGAAAGAAATATGGCACCTCCTTAAAATCGCCTGTGTAAGTAATTATTAGTGACTGTAATACTGATCTGCTATTACTTTCTGATAAAGGATTTTTTTTATTGCTTGGAGCTATGTCCTTTGAATATTTATATTTAATATTGAGTGTACATGATCCTTGTTTGGTGTCTGAATGATTATAGAGGTAGGACTTTTAGATGTACTTTTCTGTCCTACCAGCCAATTCCCAAACATCCATACAGAGACTTATTATTCATTATAAATGCTTGGCCAATAGCTCAGACTTGTTGCTAACTTGCTCTTACATTTTAAATTAACTCATATTTCTTATCTATGCTCTGCCATGTGGCAATACCTTTTTTCAACACAGCAAATTCATCTCTCCATGTCTCCTCTCAGTTCCTGAGACTCCTCCTTTCTTCTTCATGCTCTATTTTTGTCTGCGTCCTGCCTAACCTTTATCTATCTAGCTATTGGCCAGTCATCTCTTTTATTAACCAATGAGAGTAATACACATTTACAGTGTGCAAAGATTGTTCCACAGCAAGGACTTTTGTATTCTCATTCTCTTTTCCAGTCCTGGTAGTGCTGCTAGTGTGTGTCTGGTTTTGCTTGTTTCTTTGGAGACAAGAGCATTCTCTCTAGTCTAGGCTGGGAGCTGGACTGTCCCCTTACTGCAATTTTCCTGCCTCTCAAGTGCTAGGATGACAAGTGTGGGCCACCATATCCAGCTCAGTCCCTCTTTTTATAGTTCTCCCTGACCTGGGTTGCTATGGTTGCCCATAGCATCTGACTTGTTAATAAGTCAGCCTTTGCTAAGCTGTTCCCTTCCTCCAAACCACAGCTAGATTATAGGAATTAGATCCATTCAGTTTTAGTCAGTGTTAGATACACTCAGTTTTAGTCAGTGAAGAAAAGGGCCAGTGATGGTGTAGTTAGTAGTGGTGGGAATAGTTTTGTTCTCAGATAATCAGTTGTGTATATGAATAATGATTGAATTATGAGTCTTAAGTATTTTTTTAATGGTATGAATCAAGAGATGCTTGCCTGCAATTTATTTAGCGTGTGTGCTGTTTTTTGTTTTTTGTTTTTGTTTTTCCCTTCAGACACAGAGTTCTGCCCGCTCTCTTGTAGGATCCAGTTTAGAAGGCACAGTAACCCCTCCAGCATCAGCATGGCTGCCACCTATGTTAGCAGACCGTGAACATCCTCTGACACGTGTGGTAACTCCTCAAGATGGGTGGGTTCACTTTGTAACAATAGATAGTTGTATTTCAGAGTGGGGTAGGAGTGAGACAGTAGAGCATGGTGGGTAGTAGTGCCTTCAGACCAGGGGTCAGTTGTGACTAACTCAGCAGTTAATAATGCTGAGTAATTTATTCTTTTTTTAATGTTCATATATTTATTCTCATTATCAAATAAGGATGTCTTACAGTAATTGTTATCTCAATTCAAGTTCTAAGCCATTTCTGTTCCTAGCATATCAATTTCCTTTATCCAAATCATATCCCTTCCTTAACTATTTATTTCTATGAGAAATTATACTTTTTGCAGTTTCCAATTTTTTTTGTACCTGAGTTCTTTTTAATGAAGTAGTGAGATCTACTTTGTTTTATAGCTTAGTATTTCTTAATTCTGATATTTTCAGGGCTTTAAGTCATTTTGCAAATAAGAGCTCAGATTTGCACCCTGCATTTTGTCTTTAGTTTCTGCTCTGCTGCTAAAAGCTGAATGACTGTCCATCTCTGTTATTTTCTCAGCATGAGGTGTGCCGAATTCAAGTGGCTCTTTGCTAGCTTGTGTGTGGTCGCTTTTCTCACAACTCGTGGAGACCTCCACAGCACCAAGCATTTCCTGGAAGTCTGCCCATAATTAGTTTTGCAGAAGTGCACCCATGTTACATCACTGCTCAGGAGCTCATGCAGTTGCACATTCTGTACTCTGCTTTTATGAAAGAAAAAGCACATGACAGGAAGGCAAGCTGATATCAGGTATTTTATTGTTTAAAGAAAGCAAGTTCCAGTATATATCTTGGAGTCTCTACATGTGTGGCCCAATATGAATACATATACAAGAATAGCAGAGGTTGTGTCTTGTAGACCTCAGAAAATACTATTAGAACTGAAGGAAGTAAAATTTACTACATCCTAACCTTTCTTGTTTTCATTAAAGGCATTTAGACTTGGTAGGGATGTTAATTCCAAATATCAGCTCTGTGGGTAACTTCCAATTTGAGCGTGTAGTTGTTTGCAACAGTGTAATGTATTTTAAAGGTACATTTTCTGATAAATAAAAGCTGATCTTAATTATAATGTACCTGAGGTACTTAATTATCAAGGAGTAGGAAGTTGTTAGCATGCAGTTTTCTGTTTGTTGGATAATACCTGAATCAATATTTAGTTCTAAGCTAGCAGTGGCTGTTAACCATGGCCTACAGTGTGATAGAAGAGGGACTGAGGATTGGTAAAGGATTATGACAGGATATATGGAAGAGGAATGCATGAGGGGAGAAACTAGAATCAGGGCCTCCTTCGCATATAAGTATCTAGGGGTATTTTGTGTTTCATGGTTTCTTCTGTTGTTCTCAGTAGTCAGCTTGCTTTTTTTCATTGCTGCTGTCTGTAGTTTCCAATCAGCTTTTCTTTCCTGGAACTCTGGAGACCAGACTACACTTTGAGTCTCTCCCCATGTTTGTGTGTTAAGTGAGCATGCTAGTGTTTTACTGTTTGTAAAAGGAAAAGGAAATAATCCAAAAACAAAATAAAACAAAAAATGCTGTTTCATTTGGCTGTACCAAGGGGATCTTTTCCCTTACCTGTCATTTCTTCAGGGAGGGCTGAGGAGTTACCAGTGTCACCTGTTTCAAAAGAAAATCTGATAAGAGTTACAGTCGACTTGCTAGAGTAATCAGAAGTGGGGGCTTGGATAAAGAAGGATGTTGTCTGAGTGGGAGGGATGAAGAAACTGAAGACGGAAGCAGTCAATTTTCCTGGTGTGCTGAGTTGCAGAAAGTGGTCGTCCTTCTCAAGTCTAGAACATAGGCAACACTCAGGTGCCCCTTTGCTGAACTTGAAATGGTTTTGTTCTTTCCTCCATCAGAGAGACGTTAGCACAAGTGATAGAAGAAAATCTGAACTGTCTTGGCCACTTAAGTACTATTATTCGTGAAGCAAATGAGGAACAAAGCCATAGTATGATGGTAAGTTTTGTGTGAATATGGTTGTGTGTTTTAGATATGCTGGATGCAAAGGGTTAATTTTCCATGTTGGCTGTGTCTGGCATTTGGGATATATATAGGGAGTAGAACTCAAAGGAAAGAACTTTTGAGAAATATTTGGAAACCCAATTTTCTTTCTTTTTTTTCTTTTCTTTCTTTTTTTTTTTTTTTTTTTGGTTTTTTGAGACAGGGTTTCTTTGTATTGTTTTGGAGGCTGTGCTGGAACTCGCTCTGTAGACCAGGCTGGCTTTGAACCCACAGAGATCCGCCTGCCTCTGCCTCCCAAGTGCTGGGATTAAAGGCGTATGCCACGAACACCCGGCCTCCCACTTTTCTTTCTTTTGTTGTGCAGGGATGGTTATCCTGCTTTCATCCCTGCTGCTATAACTTAGCCTTACAAAAAGCCACTTAGGGGAGAGGGGCTTATTCAACTTAAAATTACAGACTACACACCATCACTGTAGAGAAGTCTAGGGCAGGAACTAGAAATAGCTAGACATGATGTCTACAGCAGAGAGGAATAAACTTCTACATTCCTGAGAGTACTCAACTCACCCTTGACTGGTGCTGCCCACGCGCCAGCCTGATCCTGGCTGCCGCTGGCTGTCTCTTCCCAGGCCAAATCCACAAAACTAACCTTATCTTTTACATAGTAGCAGTGTATCATCATTGAACCTCAACCATAGTAGTTTTGGTCAGATTAAATTTTCTTCACAATGTGACTACTGAAATGGAATGGATGTACTTTTTCACTCTATAATTGTTGTATTTGATGCATATAAGATCAGTTATGCTAATACTTAATAAAAATTGGTTGTATCAAGATGTAGTTGCCATGACCTATTGATTTGTTAAAACTGGGAGAAGCTACTGTAAAATCTTAGCAAATTCACTGCTGCTTTTAGTCTCGATTCCAGCTCTTTCCACTTATGAGTAAATATTTTACTCAAAGTTTCATGAGAACTTTGAGATATTTTTGAGATTACCAGAAGGTAAGGGGAGCTATTTCCAAACTGTAATTTCTATAGTTTTTAACATTTCGAATTTTGATTCTAAAATGTTCAAATATGAAAACAATTTAAAAAGTGAACTTTACATTCAGACATCTTCTAATTATCACTTTTAATATCTGCCTTTAGAGTCTTGATTGGAGTTGGTTAACAGAGTGACCTGATGTTCACTGTTCTCAAGCCTATGAACATTGTCTCTGCACATACTCAGAATTCATCTTTGCTCCCTGAACCTACTCTTCACATACCAGTCAGTGGAAGAAATGGCTGTAAATCAGAGACTACAAATGACTTTACAAGCACAGTATCTTGATTTTCCTTTGTATAATGATTGTGACCTCTGAACAGATAGAATTTTATTACAAATTGGTGAATTATTTTTAACACCACAGCTATCTAGGGAGATCATTAGTGACCTGCTTATCTTTAAAATTGAGAAAATACTACTTGTTTAACTGATGAAAAAGAATATATATACGTATCCCCGAGACAGGGTTTCTCTGTGTAGCTCTGGCTATCCTGGAACTCACTTTGTAGATCAGGCTGGCCTCAAACTCAAACAGAGATCCGCCTGCCTCTGCCTCCTGAGTGCTGAGATTAAAGGCGTGTGCCAGCACTGCTGGATCCAGTGCTCATTTTAAGTAAAAGTTGTCTACTGTGTTTCTGTGGAAGAGACTGCTCACAAGTAAAATTGTGCTTCCTGAAGACTAACCTACTTCCTTGTGTTGCTCTCAGCAGGTACTCTAGCTGGCATCATAAGGAGTTAGACGAATCCCATATTTAACCACACATGTAATAGTGTCCTTTTCTTTCATGAGGGATTGCACATGTGTGCTTTGGTATCAACTGATCATAATGAATTGTGTTGTGTGCTATATGTATATGTATTTAAGGTGTACATTTAATAATATCAAAGATGAGCTGCCTGTTAATTTATAATGTATTTGAAGATTGTATGGTTTTGCATTTGTAAAAATGGGTCACTTGTTTAAACAATCTTTTGTGTCTTGTCATACAAGTTTCAAAAGGTCTGCATTCATTCCTTTATCTGTAATTATAATCTCAAAATCCAAGAAGTTCTGAAAAAAAGGTTTTCCTAAACTTGATAACAAAATTCATTTGCTTCTGGATCTATTTTGACCTGACACTGAGTCTGTTTATCCCATTTAGTGTGAATATTCATTTATTTTGCTGCATAAATATTAATGTGTTTGATTATTGGGGGGATGCTGCCACAAACTCTTCTGAGGGTTAATGTAGTACGGTATATGCACTGAATTACCTATCTGAAATCTGAAAATTTCATAATTCTGAAACATCTGGACCTAGGGGTTTCAGATAAGATTGTGGATTTCTGCCTTCTGTTAAATAATTTAGAAGGTATTATTTTGTTTTTAAAAATGTGAAATGCTTTTATATTCTAGTTTTTCACTTTGCATATTAAATGATTTTAAAATTGTTCTTTGAATCTCTACTTATTACTAAGAGGCAGATTGTAGTATGACAGGCTACTGTGGATTGAGAAAATGTAGAAGGCTGTATGATACGAGAGGAGCACAAAGAAGTACGCTGTGTGTGCGCACATGCACGTGTGTGGAAGCCAGAGGTGTAATTTTCAGGAATACTGCCCCACTTTTGAGAGAGTTTGTCCTTGGCCTGGAGGTTACCGATTAAGCTGGGTTGAGTGGGCTCTGAGCCACAGGTATCTTGTCTTTGCCTACCCACTGTTGCAAATTACAGGTGCCTACCACCATGTTGCAGAATATTTGTTTACACTGTGAAGATGTATCTTTGCCAAGGTGCCTTCTGATTGGTTTAATAAAGAGCTGAATGTCCAGTAGCTATGCAGGAAGAGATTAGGTGTGACTTGTGGAGACAGAGAGGACCTTGGGAAGAAGAAAGGCAGTCACCAGCCAGACAGAGAGGAAACAGGAAGTGCAAGATGGAAGAGAGGTAACACCAGGTGGCAAAGCATAGATTTAAAAATCTGGGTTAATTTAAGTTACAAACGCTACTTGAGACAAGCATAAGCTAAAGCCCAAGTTTTTGTAATTAATAATAAGTTTCCGTGGCATTATTTGGGAGTTGCTGGTGGGATAGAGAAAGACTCATTACAATGGTGCCCAACCTCCAGGCACATATTTCTACATAGGGCCTTAGAAATCTTTAAAAAAGAAAAAGAAAGAAAAAACCAACAACAACAACAACAACAAAAAACACACTGCTTCCTAATAACCTAATAACCTAGTGCTTTTGGCTTATAGAAGCTAAGTAGAGACAGCTCGGTCTCAGCAAATTCCCAGAGCTGGGGCAGGTAAACACTGCTCCTGGCGCGTACCATGGGCATTAGGCTCAGCTCTCACAGACCTAAGTGGGACTGAGCCAGCTACCAGGGCACAGCCACACCACAAGGGGAGAATTTAAGGCTCAGCTCAGTTAGTCAGAGAAGGCGACAGGTGTGCAGTAAGCAAGTCCAGCCTGGAAAAACCTCCAAACAGGTACAGTAAAAATGGGTATAGAAAAAAATAGTTTAAAAATAATAGGGGCTGAGCCGGGCTTTGGTGGTACATGCCTTTAATTCCAGGACTTGGGAGACAGAGGCAGGTGGATCTCTGTGAGTTCCAGGCCAGCCTAGTCTACAGACAGAGTTCCAGGACAGGCTCCAAAGCTATACAGAGAAACCCTGTCTCAAAACAAACAAATAATAGGGGCTGGAGAGATGGCTCAGAGGTTAAGAACACTGGCTGCTCTTCCAGAGGTCCTGAGTTTAATTCCTGGCAACCACATGGTAGCTCACAACTATCCATAATGAGATCTGGTGCCTCTTCTGGAATGCAGGCGTTCATGTATCCAGAACACTGTATATATCATAAATAAATGAAAATCTTAAAAAAAAATAAGCTGGGCAGTGGTGATGCATACCTTTAATCCCAGCACTAGGGAGGCAGAGACAGGTGGACCTTTGTGAGTTCCTGGTCAACAAAGCAAGTTCCAGGACAGCCAGGGCTACACAGAGAAACCCTGTCTTGAAAAACAAAAGAAAAATAAAACAGACTTACTGGAAGTTTATTAACTTCCTCACTGTAATGTTTTTCCCTAAGAGGTGCTAATACTACTCTGTATTTAAAAACATTAAGATCGAATCATTTAAACTGATGACATAGTCCTTCCATCCCCATTTTATTAATGCTGTCATTTTCCTAGTCAGCCAAGTCTGAATGCTTGGAGTTGTCTTTTGGTTTTAGTTTGAAACAAGGTCTCACTATTAACCTAGCCTAGTTCAAACTTGCCCTTGCCTCAGTTTCCAAAGTCTGTTACAGATATATATGTACATGGCTATCTTCTGTTTTTAAGTTATCAAGTATCAATGTTTCTTTAAGATGGCAACTCTATGCCTGTCATTTGAATGATGCCAGGCAAACTCTGGATTCAGTAGCTCTAGAGTCTGGATGTTCTTAATAATAAACATTTATTGGGTACTTGTTGCTCAGAAGATGTTAGCCTGCATGGAAAGGTCAGAAAGAGTTTTGGTTTTCTGTTGTTTTAAAACAGGTTATCCCTGCACAGACCTATGCTGACAAAGTTAGCTTCAGACTTCAGCACTACCCCTTCCTCTCTGTCCCCAGCTAGAATGTGACCTCACCTGGCTGACGTGAAAGTAACCCAGGCTAGTCAATAAAGGTGTTTATCTCAGAGTCTGAACGTTTAATTATTGTTTATTTTTTGGCCAAGTAGTGGTGGCACACTTAATCCTAGCACTGGGTAGGCTGAGGTTGGGGGATCTTTTTTGAGTTCAAATTCAACCTGGTCTACAGAGAGTTCCATCAAGTTCCAGGACAGGATCCAAAGCTACACAGAGAAATCCTGTCTTGAAAAAACAACCAAACAAGCAAATAAATAATCATCAGTACAAGGGTTTGCCATAGGTCCATTTTGATGGGGCATGACTGGAGCGATGTTAGCACCATAACTTTGGGCCTGTTGTTCTTTGTTTCCCAACTTCCTGTCTCTCCACTCCCAGTGAGACTGCTTTCTGGTATTTTCCTGCACCGGAGTTCAAAAATCCTTCCAACCTTGTCCAGTTGTCTCATTTCTGCCCTTAATGACGTGGGATGTCCTTATTTCCCATGTATTCAAATATCTCTAAACTCTACCCTTTTTCTTTTCCTTTTTGTAATACACGCACATGGTGTTTGTTTTTCCCTAAAGTATACATACAGATTATTATTTTTGTGCTTGTTGGTGTGTGATGAGGAGATCAGAGAACAACTTCATGGAGTCGGTCTCCACTTTTCACTTCTACGTAGAATCTAAGTATGAAATGAAGTTATCAGGCATGTCCACAAACACCTTTCCCCACTGAGCTGTCTCATTAGGTTCACATTGGTGTGAAACTTTAAAATTCTCAGTGAGAAAAAAGTTTCAGGGATCTGGATAGGTGGCTCAGGTTAAGAGCCCAGGCTGCACTTCCAGAGGACCCTGGTTCGATTCCCAGCACCCATGTGGCAGTTCACAGCAGTCTGTATCTCTAGTTCCTGGGGATCCAATGCCCTCTTCTGACTGCTGAGGGCACCAGGCACACGTGATGACATGCATGCAGGCAAAACACCCATATAAATACAAAGTCAGTCTCCTTGCCATCCATTCTTCCGTCAGCAGAAAAGTGCATCCCAGACTTTAATCTGGTTCTAGCCTAGCCTACCATACTTTCAGCCACACCAGCTTCATGGAAAAGCAAGCGTTCACTGTTCATTTTGGCCCGACAAGTCAATCCCTATCCCCACTCTCAACGTAGAGTTTCTGGGTGGCCTTCAGAAAACACTGGTGTAGCGTTCCGGCACAAAATACTCAACCCAAGCTTCAGTGATTAACACAGATCCAATAGCTTCCTCCACTGAACTCAAACCCCTCTTTCCTCGAGACTGGTCTGGTAGTTTTCTTAGTACAGGATGTGTACCTGCAGAACGCGGGTACCTGGCCAGTTAGGCTAGGTACAAACCACAAAAGGATGAAGGGACAACCCCTACACTGAGGGGTTGAGTCCTCGGGCCGGAGCGCCAGAATTAGCCCCGGTCTCAGGGATTAATGCCAGACGACTTCAACCGCACGCGACCAAGGTGTTAGGAAGCACCGCGCTGGATGCGCCTAGGCCAATTTTGTCCCGCCCGCTCACCGTCTCACGAGTCGCGGGCGGGGGCTGCGTCGCCTGCGTCCCCGCGCAGCCGCAGTGCCGGGAAGGTGGGCGGGGCCGGCTGTTGGCAGCAGTTGGCGGGGCCGGGAGGCGGCTGCACGTGCGGGCGGGGGCGATGCGTCACTGACCGGTGAGGCGCGGCTGCGGGGTCGCGGTTCCCAGGGTGCCCGAGGTCAGGGCCGTACCCTGTTGGAGCCTTCCGCCGGGGGAGCCGGGGAAGGGGTGTCACGCCGTGCGCCGAGCCCGGGCCGCCGGCGCGGGGGCTGGCGAGGGGAGCGCAGGCTGAGGGAGAGCGTGGGGCCGGCGCGCGGGGCTTCCCGCCTCAGCCCGCGACCGGACGCGGGCTCTCCGCAGGGTGGGGACTGGCCTGTCACTCAAGGGACTGAGGGTCCTCTGCTTCCCATGCCCAGGAGGAACAAGGATGAATATGACTCAAGCGCGGGTTCTGGTGGCCGCGGCGGTGGGGCTGGTGGTGGTCCTCCTTTACGCCTCCATCCACAAGATCGAGGAGGGACACCTGGCCGTGTACTACAGGTGAGCGCCCCGCGGGCCACACAGAGAGGGTCCGAGGGTCGCAGGGGAGGCTGGAAGTTGCTCCTCTGCGGCGTCCGGGGAGCGCTTCCAACCCTAGGAAGTGGTTTCATTCCAGCTTGTTGGGAAGTAACCTTTGGCCGGGCACCTTCAGGTGTCGGGCAGCGTGGTGCCGAGTTCGTTTTGTGCAGAGGTGGAGACTCCTTAGGAGGGAAGGAAGTTGTCACTGCAACCAAGATGACTTGATTCTAACTCGTTGTAGTCCGTACAACTGCACAGGTGTTTGGTTTGCCAGTGTAGATGCTTTTCGGGATCTCTGGTCCTTACTATGACATTCTCCCTAAGTTGCTGGGTTTTTTTGTTTTTCATTAAAAACCTCCCAGTATCTGATTATGTCTCCCAAAATCTTAATGACCATGACAGTGTTATGTCCCTAAAGTCAAGAGACAAAAATCACATCTCCAGGCCACCTTTCTCACTTTTTCCAAGTCAAGGTGAGGAAGAGTGTGGTCTGTGTTGCGGTCTGGTTGACTTGACATAGCTTCTCTTCGGTATGAGCTACCGCCTGCATCTTTTGGTATAGACTGATGAGTGAAATCGGGATAGTAGTTTATTTAGAAAAAAGTGGATTTCTGCTTATTTCCATCAACCCCCACCCCAAACTGGTATTTCTACTTTTAGATCCATCCTGAGTCCTAGAAAAAGTACGATTTTGGTGGTATGCCTTAACAGATGGA